ATATAGGCACACAGATTAAACCTGTGTTGTTGATTTTGGAAAACACTACTGAGGCTGCCTTACTTCCCTTCAGAAAATCTACATTTTAACCAACTTACATGACATTCTATGTTATATTGACTTTATCATATGAAAGTTTATGGTGCATTTCATCAATTAATAAATAAATGTGAAAATCGTAATTTTCAACACAAATAATAGTCTCGCTACCTTAATTCAAGTTCAATTAAATAAAAATAAAGTTCAAACATTTTGTGATTTAACAAAGAAATTATACATACAGCCATCAGTGGTAACTTTGGTTGTCAGTTTCTTATGTCCCATGTTAACAGCTACTATTGTATTGTAGTATGTAGTGTTGTGTTCTAGAACGAGATTATCTTGACACGTCCTGTATTCAGTATACGATAGATCAATGGGTTCGATTGTGTCATTGGCTCCTGGCGTTGTTCCAACAAACCAAATGTATTTTTCTGTGATATGATTTGACAAAATTATTATTTGATGAACTGACAATAAGAGTTGTTTTCAACCAATGCATGGTATTTAACTTATTTGGTTAAAAACAGGTTGAGAGGTCGCCCATGCTCACCTATGCTACTTTCTTGGTCCTGAAATCCACTCCAACTTACGCATATTTCATTGCTCACGAATTGGTAATTAATATCGTGATCATGTACTAAACCATCAAATACGTTCCCTGTCGTCGGCGGGCTGGTGTCAACTATCAATGGCATTAGTCCGTAACGAACAGCTCGTAAATCGACTGAAATAGTAATTAGTCGAGTACCAATCAACATATTTGAATATAAATAAAAACGGAATTTGACAAGGCTTTATAAAGTCGGATCTCAAATGAATGATACATCAATTTACGATCTACTACAGATATAATTTACTAATCTTTGGAAAACTCAAATAATCGAATTAACAACATAAAATATTTCCAGTCTGCAAACGCCATTTAACAAAATAAATATATAAACGTCTCACCGTTATTGATTGCCCGGACTTTGACCCATGTTAACACACCATCAGCTAAACAAAATGCCAAGGCTATATGTGTAACGTGTATTCCCTTTCCCAGTCCATAATATAAACATCGTGTGGTGTTTCTCCCAGACCAAAATCTATCTCTCTGATATTTGATAAGTCGTCACTTTGAAACAAAAATAATGTCATATATTATATATCATTTTGTATTATATATATATACAACGTTATTTTACATAAGTACTGATATGTATATACTGACCTACAATTGTATTCTTCAGAGATAATACAGGTGTCTTCATCATATTCAATATTGAAAATATCATGCACATATGGGGGCGTGTTATCTATTGCTAATGGCGTTGAATGACATACTGTCGTCGCTAGCGGGCCACCGAACTCCACATTGTTTATCGCTCTGACAGTGACATAGTAAAAACCATCTACAATAAGATAAGGAAAGAGGTGGTCAATAAGAAAAATGATTCTCGTTGCCGCTAATGAAAGTCGTACTACCAAATGCAATACATCTCGCAGTCACTAAAATGTTCTCACCTGGCAAGGACAGAGAATGTGCAATACCCTTATTAGTCCATTCATGTGGATCTGTATGAGGATGAATGTCTTCCTGACACACATCGGTCCCGACAGCCCAAGTATATCCCAATATACCCGTCTCATCATCGTGGAATCCATCCCAATTTGCTATAAGAAATTGTATTTATCCTGTGATATGAATGTTTTATGATAACAGTGTTTTTACTCGTTACAAATATATAGTCTTTGGGTGTTTGTGCATACGTGAAGATGTAAATACCTGTAACAAACTTGTTTGATCTAGTGTACAGGAGATCAACAAGCGGTTCTTGTCCGTTGAACACAGTAGCTGATCCTGGACCATCAACAACATGTCTGTAAATCATTAAAATGATTCAGATCCATTTTATATTTTACACGTACATATCATGATGCCAACATCTACAAAAACAATAAGTACGCTGCTTCTCAATTTGAGAAAATAAAAAAATAGTACAAAAAACCCACGCCATTGCTGCGCATTCTGTATGCGATTATCTTTTGTGCTTTTATTGTGTTACTAGAAATGAAAAGAAATTGAGGTAGTCGGAAATGGTCGAAATTTGCATATTTTGGTCTGCTTTATATGAAAATTCTGAAAACATTCCCACTGCCATGATCGTGAGGTCTAATCCTGAGATTCATGTCGTAATATATGTCTGATTGTTTGCATGAACAATTTTCTAAGTAAGTATCCAGTGTGAATAATTTCTCCAAAAATGCATTGCATATGCTTAGTAACATGCTCACAAATTCGTCGCTCTCTTAAATGACAAGAATATAAGACCCAGTCTATTGTTAATATTGTGTTTTTATTATGAAATGCAAACCATCGTTGGAATGAATTACATGTTACATATTCACACCATGTCAGCCGATTCAACGGATTTCAATGCCATGTGAGTTTGAATGTATTGGTTGGCAAGTAACTAATAAATATGTATGTACTTTTTTATTCTGAGAAAACTGTTTAATGTTTGCTTACCGATGATTTTCGAACATTCTCGCTTCAATACATTTGTAATGCCACTTGCTGGGAACGAAACTTTCACAACTCGCATTGTATTTAATATCAGACACTGTATTTTGTATCGGACCAGTGGAAGGGGTTTCGAAATCAGCAACAATGGGACCTGAATTAATGATGGTTTCATAACCTTTAAAATAAAATTAATACAAAAAGTACATGTTGAATACATGATTTGTGTCATCCGTATTTTTGTTTTTCGTTAAGCATGGGAAACTCGGGTATTATTCACAAAGAACCAACCAAAGTAAAAAAGTTGGCTAGAATTTGACGGTAATACCAAAAAAGGTTTCTCTTCCTAGGGAAAATTTAAAAATTCACCGGTGACGCGGTTTTATTTTATTTTTGTGTTTTGGTACAGACCATTTAAAATCACAGCGACGTTTATCATATACCTAGTATTACCCGGCCTCGTAACGCTAAGGGAAGTGCGTCCTCACATCTGGGCTCGAGCGCCACCGCCACGCGAATTATCCACTCCATAAATATGTGCCACTTTACCGGTATGAAAAATTGAACAAAATTCTAAATGCGCGTGATGACGAAAAGTACATTTTGTTGTTATCTAAATCAAGTAAAAGAAGTTCGCAGGCTATATGTGCTTGTTGATGATACACCACATATCAACTTACCCAGTGTATTTTGTAAATACATGTTGAAGTAATGCACATCACCGTGTCGTAAATTTAAATTCCGATGTTCAAACTCCATTGACCGGCTTACACCATTTCTCTCATAATAGTTTAGCTGTTTAGCCTGCAAAATAGCATATACAATATAGAAAACGGGCACTATAATTATTGATCATATATCGAGAAACCGAGGAATTATACGCAACACAAAAACAAGACAGCTTGTTCGAGTTGTACCGAATAATACAGTCAGAATAACAAAAGGGCTTTCTACAATAATTAAGTGTAAGCCATGCTGACAACATATGGTAATAAAATGAGTATTGTTTCATTGAAGTTGATGTGTCATCTTTATGAAATTGCATAGTAAATCAAATTATACCATGTTAACTAATATTAGAATTACATACAGATTTACTTCAATTATCATCAAACATTAGCCGCTTTACACAACCTTCATTGCGTTTCATGTGGTAATAAAATGTGGAGCACTGTAGTCTCCTTATGTGTACTCAATGACTAGAGTTCTATTTTTGATTGTATCAGTTTTGTTGTTCCAAATGAAAATAAAAATAACATAATGTTAATTATGTTGGTAAAATGGTGAGGAGGATTTGATAGAACTGACGCTCAATGTGTTAACTTGAATGATGCCAAATTCTTTTTAACACAGTCGTTTTAGCTACAGCTGAAAGTTTCCTTAATGACAAAAACCTAAGTATATTTTAAATTTCATTTAGTTTGGAACTGAAATTAAACTAACGGAATTTTAATGCCAAGAACGTCAATTAGAACCTCACAATCTGTAGAAAGAGAATACACAACCAAATAAGTAAGAGAAAGATTCATGTATCTTGAATTATTGAATGATTTTAAAGATTGCTAATAAAAAGTTCGCGATTGTACTATACCCTGGTGAACCGCCGGAGCATGTGTGCTACTTTCTGCCAATAGTTCACATGTGCCACTCTCATGTTTGTAATTGAAACTTGTACACATGTCATTGTCTTGGTGACAGTGCTCAGCGCAGATACTTTCATTGATGAATGATATTGTTAGATACGGGTCGACATTTAATTTACCATTCGCTCGAGTCAAGATGTTGTTGACGAGAAAATGAATTGCTACTTGAACCGAAATCATTCCAAGGAACAATCTGATCCGCAAAATGATCGTATCCAAATCCCATACTTTTCTGTAATTGATAATAATATGTGTATTAAAGCGAAAGACAACAAGAAATGAGACAAGACATGTACAGAAACACTAGCAAGTATTGTTTGATATAATATATTGATTTCAGGTGATAAATTAGGTAATAGTGAATACGTGATAACCACACGACAAATTAAATAATATATTAACTAAATAATGCATGTAAATGTTGGTATTGTTCTAAAATTTACAATCTGAAAATCGGTATATCGTATTATTTATACCAATATACACCATTTTCAATATCTTCAAAAACCTCTTTTCTTTGAAATCAACAAATTTGCATCATGACATAACTAAACAATCTTTACATTGATGTTTTAACATTATACCAATGTTAACACGTATGCGACGAACTGATATCTCCTACTTACCATTTGCACACTTATGGGACTATCATCTGTAATAACCACAGACCCTTTCAATATATCAGGACGACTAGTAGATTTGAAAGTTGACAATATCCTGCCACTAGGTAGAGTTGTGTCATACGTTGGTAACACGCATGTTGCCATTGACGTTGATTTTGCCGAGTTTGTTGCTTTCACTGTAAAGTGAAGCGGGATTCCACTTGGAAGAATCTGCCAACACAAATACCATACAATTCTCTAATATATTGATTATAATTTTGACAGTGATTTGATGTTAAGTTTAAGTCTCGTGCACAATATTTTCTCTGTATCATGAATGTGCGTTAAATGAGACTTGATTGTGTAATGCTATTAGTTATAATATATAATATAAAATCACACGTTGAATCTAACAGGAACATATTAAAAACAATACGCGGAACATAGCAATAAACATTTTATCTGACTTACGTCAAAAAAACAAAAACAAAAAACACCAACCGTACCAATTAAAACGGCCCTAAATATTTGTTTGGCTGTAGATCCAATTGGTTCGTGGCCAAAAAAAGTGTCAATTGAAGTGTGTGAATTGATGGGAATACGCATATTTCATCTTTTTTCTGAAAATACTAGCTCACTGAACGCCATGTAAATTAATATTGACAGATTAGTGGGTTTTCAAGCGTTCATAATTACGTTTTTCTCCGCTGTGCTGTATAACATGTTTTAGCTAGTTTTGTGGTGGGTGAGATAGGGTTGCATTGTGCAGAATAGTAGAACATGAGACAAAGTCAAAATGAAAATTTGTGAGGTCCACTTCATTAATACGTCACAGTAGCCAAAACAAGAACTACTCCCTACAAAAATTTGTTAACTGGAATATTTTCATAATGTTGTCAAAATACAATACAGAACTATGATTGGTCCAATTCAAAGTGGTAGATTCCACTATCATAGCAATAAGTAACTAGTCTTAGTTACGGGGTCAAAGGTTATAAAAAGAGGCGGCAAGACCAACATATAACAAGATACAAGATACACATCAATGATTCTGATCTTGTAGTATGTGAATTCGTTCAGCGGCCTGTATAAGCTCCAGGTAACTCGTGCTAGCTGCCAATTGACACGTTTACTAACATCTTTATGTCATGATCAGAACAATTTCTGCAACTCGAATACGATTTGATGTGGTTCCCTTAATTTCGTTCAAATGTCGCTCAGTAAGGGAAGTCAGATATTCATTTGCCAGGCGTTTGCGAAAACCATTCTGCATTCTATAGAGAGATACTGCACTCGATTGTTAGCAGTAATGTTATTCAGTTTGAAATTAGGGTTAATGTCACTGACATTGATTTTAGGCAGACTTCTTAGTGGACGACCATTTAGGAGATGGGATGGCTTCAGGGGTAATAAATCATCAGCAGTTTGCGACAGATGAGTCAGGGGTCATTTACTGCAGATTCCACTTCGGATAATAAAGTTGATAATACAATTACGTTAGCCTCCCCCAATACCTTGCGTATACACTTTTTTGTTGTCGATATCAGCCTTTCAAACAGTCCACCTGCCCAAGGCATGCGTTTCGGATTAAGCCGCCATGTATTGTTGAACAGTTTGATTGCACATCAATTTAGTTAGTTCATTTGCTGCTGCAATGAATTGTTGATCCGTTATCAGTTACCATGAAGCGAGGTGTAGAGCTGTGTGCGGTAAAGCATCGCGTTGCTAAGGGACTGGTCATTTTCTTTGGCCGGGGGTGCCGGAAATCTGATTTCGCAAAAGTAGGAAATAACTCCAGTCCAAGCAAAAAACAAAACAAGTTGACCCCCTCACATCATCTGAAAATACAGCGACCCCTCACCAAGAAATTTTTGATTTATGTTACTACTTGTAGCTTCGTAGCGAGTAGATTTCGCAGTGAGTAGGACTTTGTCACAGTAACTGGTCCGTTCATCAATGTTGAGAATTAATGTTTTATGTGTCAATGACAAATGGTTTTAATCTGGAAATACCATCTTTAGGAGCTGTTAATTTGTGCAGCTGCTCTGGCAGGAATTCCTAAACAAGATTCATGCTGTGATATTATCACCTAGTCTCTTATTTTGACCAAAAAATATTTAAACATTTATAGAATGGGCTTTGCATCATGCATACTTGTTATACTGCTTTAGTGACATACTGTAAGTATTGGTGTTCCAGTTTTATTCACTCTTGTGTTGAAAATGGCAATGATAATTAAAAATGACGACAAAGGTGCAAAACATATTTATGCTAATAACTACTTCACCACGAGGTTTTTTTGTGAATTAATGGCGATGGCAACGAAAATTGCGACTAAATCGATATCGGTAAGATTCCAGCAGGAACGGCAATGATGAATCCCTATTTAAGGCAAATGAACACGTGAAGCACACGAAACTGTTTTAAATCATAGTACAAAACGCGAATTAACCATTGTGTACTCTTGAGGAAAACTAGAATCACTCGATGGGTGCCATAGTAAGCGATGGTAAAACCCGTATTTATCTTATCAAACATACTTTTTTGCAAAGTAATTATTTTATTGCTTGGCCGTTCAGGTCTATGTGCTGCACGTTAGAGTGCACATACCTAAGCGACTATCCCTCATCAAATAATTTAGCCTAGACATTTTCTGTGTCAAAATCACGAACTACCCGTTTTTACGCAATCTTGGAAGTCTGAATTACTAAATGAAGTACAGGACGACGAAGCTGAAATATACCAAGAACAAACACATACTAAGGAGTATATCTCAAAAGTAAGTAATATAGTATAACTGGACCGGAAGTGAAAAATATATTACTACTCTAAATACCCAAACATATTTTAGTATAAGGTGATGATGTCATCCATGACAGTGTTGTCGGTCATGACAGTGCTGATTATGTGATCCATGTTGGTGTTTTCCATGACAGTAATGATGAAGGCGTTCATGAAAGTGTTGTTGGTCAGTGTACGTTACTCGCTAAACATCACAAACATCGAATTAATACTCCTCTAAAAAAATATAATAAGGCAAACATAATTTGACAGGAACCACACATTGCCCAAGGGTGACCTGGAGGTAATTGTGGAAAAGGGTAACCTCATTCTCCCAAGTCCAAAAACTCCACAACCGGATACAGTTTTAACGTCATACCCAGGATATACATATTTTAGTATAAGGTGATGATGTCATCCATGACAGTGTTGTCGGTCATGACAGTGCTGATTATGTGATCCATGTTGGTGTTTTCCATGACAGTAGTGATGATGGCGTTCATGAAAGTGTTGTTGGTCAGTGTATGTTACTCGCTAAACGCCACAAACATCGAATTAATACTCCTCTAAAAAATATAATAAGGCAAACATAATTTGACAGGAACCACACATTGCCCAAGGGTGACCTGGAGGTAATTGTGGAAAAGGGTAACCTCATTCTCCCAAGTCCAAAAACTCCTCAACCGGATGCAGTTTTAACGTCATACCCAGGATGTCAGTATAGTAGTTATATCTAAACTCATGTACACGCACGTTACTATGGGTGATATTTGTGCATTTACCTCTGACTTTAATCAATGTAAAATTGCACTGAACATAAACACGATTGATTCTGCACTATGACAAGAAAAGAACTGATTCGGAATTACGAAAATAACTGAATCAAGGTGTTGAACCTTCCAGTCTCGCATTCGAAACAGCAAATTCTTGTTACTTACGTTCACTAAAGCATGGTGAACTATACATAATCGTATTCATAAACATATGGGCAATGTAATTGATTCTGTTGTAAAACTAAATACTAACACTGAAGATCAATTCTGCTATCTGCTGGATTATTTAAATGCCAGTCTTGTTTTCCTTATGATTTTAAACGTATTTAATTAATCGATTTTATCCCATCCCTCAATAACGGCAGTTGGATGTAATTTTAGAATGAATAAGGTTAGTTATGTTTCTGTCTGTAGAATAATGGAGTGTAGCATACTTGTCTGTGGTGCAAATATTCACTGCGCGACTTTCTGGAAACACTAAGTATTACCTAAATAGCACGAAGATAACAGCATATAATGAAAAACTACTACATGACCTGTATCTTTGAAGCATATCATTTTGACAAACTGCATCATTCGAACAATCATTTGTGACGATGACCAATCTTTATTTACTTCAAGATCAGTTACAGCAACTGAAACCATCGACTTCTATGTCTTATTAAATCGCCAAAGCCAAAAAACCTCGGGTTTCAGTAAGGATAAATTCTGGTAATACATCATGCTTTGAAATAAGTATTTGCAAGGGCAATCATAATATAGATTGTGTTGCGTATTGGGTTACGTCTGAGTTCGGCGTCGAGGGTGTAGGGTATATTATTTAATTGTTCGTGAGTTGCTTTGTAAATAGTTGTTGTTATCGACCACAACTATTATATATGTATTCTTCACTTTAATCACGCATGAAACATTTTCGCCTTTTTTAACACATTTCAATTTAAATTTCTGCAACAACCATTACAATTTTGCAACTGAAACGGCAACATTTCTGTCAGTAATTTCTCCCAAAATAGTGGATTTATATAACTTTTTATTTTTTGTTTATAAGAATATTTGAAATTCATAAATTTAATATTTTGTGTTGGGGTGAACAATAGAAAGAATATGAATCTACACAAATTAGCAATAACTACTGTGGAGATATAAACGAGTGCAATAAAACTTCATTTCAGTCAGGTGCTGAAATGAAAAAGATCGATTATGCAAAATATTCAGGATTTATTATGCGTATATATCTGTGAAGATAGTAAATGTTGTTCACAACATGATATTTGGATGGTCGGCCATCTTGAATTTCGAATAGGCTGTTTCTATAGGCCAGTTTCTAGATAAGATTGAGACATGAAATTAGTGTTGAATCCCATATTTACTAGGTTAAATAACCCGTTTGTGGGTTTTAACATAAAAAGTCACACTACTGGCTAGAACCGTCTAAGCAAGCCTCACACATAACTGTGAAGAACCCATTATACCTAGTAGTTGTGCTACTTATATGGACTCACCCTGAACATACTATTTAACATATTTATACAGACTGGCGGAGTAGTACTCATAAGTGGAAATGATATCACTCATACATATTTACTGCACAGTTTTTATTAGCGAGATCGATTGTAAGACAAACGTTGAAATTGAACAAATTGAGCGAGCAAATTGATGTTAATCTGTATATGGTAAATGTAGGTTTTTGTTTTAGAGTTAGTAGAGTACCTGTGATGATGACATCATATTAGCACTGTAAAAACGACAAAATTTAGATTAATAATTAGTTGAGGTATTACTGTTTAAATAATGTATGGTACGTTGTTATCTAGCATATAAAAGAACAGAGTTCATTAGTAACGACACAATGCATGGAAAAAATACAATTGAAATCGGGTCAGTGTTTTCATCTAGACACCTCGTGTTTATGCATTGATAGACCTGAGCACTCTTCTTGGATATACTAACCGACTATCTAGGCCACAGACAGAGATATTGTATCTTTAGAAAGCCTCCATGTCCAAGAGTACCAGTTTCATTTTATTTTTCAAATAATTTACCTCTCAAAATATTTTTAATATATATTTTGACGGACGTATCATACATTTAAAAGTCCTAGAATATGTAATCACCTATGACGATACGTGAATTCAGAACACGTGTGACCGATCGTCGAACTTTCAGAATGTGTAGTCACTGTTACATATAATTTGCATAATCAAAGTGTAAACTATACTAGAAATTTACATAAGATCAACTTGTGATCGATGAATATTCATGATCTGACTAAAAAAACAGTGACAGACACTAAGTTCAAGGTGGTGCATAAAGGCAGCGATGTATTCTATTGCTCATTTTCGGGCGCCTGAATTTAAAACTAGCTTTGATGTGTGTTTTTTACTATATAACGTAATGTACCAATACTACAGACACGAAGTTTAGCGATATACTCACCGCATGCCATCATTGTGCATATCTCATGCCCATTCACGCAGTTGCTAATGGAGACAATTTTTAAAAAGGTAATAAACATATTGGCTACTTTAATTTATGGGGGCGGGGGTGAATTGACATATTGTTCGATACACATTAATGCATTTGAGAATAAACAAACGTATATATTTAAAGTCAAATTTATGATAATCGTCTTCTCAAAAGTTAATGTCTTCGTCACCATACTCACAGGTCACCTTATTCATTCCATATGCGGCACATATGACATAACCACAAACGACGAATTTTAAAAATAGCATTACACCAATTCCTTACACTTACCAAGTGTTACACCCGTCCCCTGCTGAATATGTTGTTCCATCTACGTGCCCATGACAATCTGGTCCTAAAATTAAAAAGACATATGACTGGACCTACATGTCATTAAAGTATAGCCAGATAGCATATACACTACTTTACAAAAACATTAAAACTGATTATGCCATAATATGCGTCATACATACTACATACAAGATATTCAGTTGTTCTGTTAAAACACATTATTTACACCTACACCCATCTGCAACATGCTACCTGCAAGAACACGTTTCTATTTAGATTTGGTGAACGAATGGAAATACGTAAGATAGGTTGAACTAGCTAATATGTAAAAACACGAAGCAATTTACACACTTTCTTAAATGTTCAAAAGTGACAGATATTTTGATCAACGCTTTTGAGTCACGACGTTCATGAAAATGTTTCCGTTTCAATATAAAGGTGCCAAGAACAAATTGTTCATGTATCAGCGTGAAATCAACACCCCTGAGAGATCCCGTAAACCTGAAGTGTGTATTCTATTGTTTTTGAATGGAATGCTTGGTTATCAGATTTTCAGAGATGCTACAGTTTTTTAACCAGTAATACTTTCTAGTACTCCCTTTATCACATGTGTATACCTGTTTCTAAATGTGTGAACATAAATTATATATTTTATAGCGAAATAAAATTGTGTTAGTTTGTAGTGTTGTTGATGTATACTTACCACATACCATCAAAGTACACATTTCACGCCCATTATTGCAAGTACTAGTAAAATATAACAAAAGTACATTTTAATCCCATACAGACCAAATTAGTTTTTTTTTTCAGAAGTAATAATATACATAACCGATCATGGCATCATAATATACTAAAACGAGTACACATTATTAATCGCATTCACATTCAATATCACTGATTAATTTTGAATATCGTAGCATAGAGAAGTATAACATAGGGGAACGTACCAAGTATTACATCCATCATCTGCTGGGTATGTTGTACCATCCTCGTGCCCATCACAGTCCTCGCCTGAAATTGATGATATTTTTTGACGTTGAGGCTAATGACTCTACCCTTGTTCACCATATCTAATATTGTTATTGATATTTAATTAACTTACCAATACAGTCTACTAGTTCTCCGTCAACATAGAAATCAGCATTACACCCACCACAATAATTGGCTACACACTTTGCCTCTGGATACGCTGGGCATTCCGTGACTCGACAGGGGTCGGCAAAACAGTAAACCATTGGGACACCAGGCCAACAGCCATTATCTGTTTGTGGATGTTAGAACGACACTTAATTCAGTCCATTAATTAATTGGTTATTGTCTTTAAAATGTGAATTTAATTGATAGTTGTTACGGCATTGCCCGGATGTTATAATAAGCAAATAGCATATCTATACTGATTATTGCATGACAATTTCGGATAACCTGTCCATCTTTAATATTTCATTTTCTAACTAAAAACAAACCAATTGTAATCGTTACGAATAATGGCCGAGTAAATAACACATAACATTAGTAGATATATAAACCTTTCCTATACTTATTTTACCCAATGATGAATACATTTTACTGCCTACTTGTTTTTCTTCGGCGCTATAAATACAGATTGTTGTCCCCTTAAAAATGTGCATTTTTTCATCTAAAAAGCTATAAGTTCACTATAATGAAAAATACATATTTTCGGTCACAATAAACTCTTGGGTAGATTTAGGACAATAGCGTGCCTTGTGTATATTGAGTATCGATTTCAGAATGTTTGAATAAACTACGTATTGTTTTCAGTGAAAACGCGATTCCTTTTATTTTAAAAACTATATATCCTATAATTTAAGACACTTCATATTAGCTAATATGTACAAGAATCGTTTGTGAATATTTCAGACAAATAGGTTAAGATGGTGTTAACTTAAATTGTTTTCAATTTTCTATTCTAATTTTCATAACTTATCAGTTGATCAATGTACAAAGTGATGCTTTATATTCAAGGTAAGTATGAGCTTGTTGAATGACCTCATTGAGTATATAAATTGTATGCAAATAAATAAATTTGTTTGTTAAAACAATAACATGTTCTCATTAGCGTGTAATTTGGAAATTTGTTCATGTGTTCCATACGAGATATCAAAGCGAATTACAAAAACGTTTTATAAATATAGTATCTGTTCTGGAAACTATTGTTGCAATACGGTAACAGTGGATTGCTTGTAATTTTGTGATACGTCTAGATCGCTCCTCTTTTCTCGGTGTTATCTGGTATATTTTACACACAGCGCGCCATCGTTATTATATCGTCGTAAGTATGACTGTCCGAATAATTAATGACAACTTTGAAAGCTCAAGCTTGTCGTGTCTCGAGTTTTTTACAGAATTTTTTCACGATTTTTGTCATGATTGCTCAAATTTTCTGTGTTTAACTCTGAAAAGAATCAATATTAACACATTTGTAACAAGGAACAAATGGATGAAATACCAGCTGATATTTCATATCGAAACTCATACAAAATTAAATGCACTGTTGAAACATCTAAATAAATATTATCTAAAATATTAACATTTATTTTGTCTACTAGCGGGGCTTCCAAGATAATGTCAATAATATAAAACAAAAGTGGGGAATACAAATTCGGAAAACAGATTTGGGAAACTTGTATTCAAGATCATTTTCATGTGACACTTCAATCACCATTTTTACCTTTTCCCCTCCTGTATATAGATATAGAACACTGAAAGTCAAGCATTTTTCAATAGCAATGATTCTAATTGTGTTAAATATATAGTAGTCACGATTCTATCTATTGTTGTAAGAACTGATGCAATACTACACTACAAGAAAGATGAAAATATCAGTGTGCTACATTTTACTCATTGGCAGCACATTTCTCGAGTTTGAAGGCATACGTTTTGACTAGATATCGACATCATAATGGCAATAACACATATGCGGTTAAATTTCTATAGAATAGTTAAACACAAAATTTAAAGAGAAACAATCTTGTAATGTCACATTCCGATATATTATTGATCCATCATATTTCCATTAACAATCCTAATTTCAGTGATTATATTTCAATGATATATCCTGCTGAATTCAACTTCTTCTCCTTCATACATATTCAGATTTGTGCATTGAATTTAACATCGGCTATTAAGTGGATTTTAATTTTCTATACCTTCATAGCAATGTCCTATACTCTCCCACGTATGCGGTATACATATTCCAGTCCAGTCCTATGTGGGTTTCTGGGTATATGCGGACTTTTTAAAGACATATTGTCTTCTCTCGTCAAACTGTTAAACCCATAGTTTTGTAGCGAACGACACTACTTCACAGACGATGATCTGATGACATAAATGCCACTTGTGTAATTATGTTATTACACTTCAATATGAAATAAGCTTGTTCCCCCGTTAAATGTAAAACTAATAAGACGAGGCACTATCTCATCCATGCTGATAATCAACAATTCACGATCGTAGAAATTTGATGGGGATGCAAATCATTGGAAAACATTTGGGTCAAATAGAAAACTAGGGTATTGTATAACACTATTATAACTCGCCTATATCAGCAATGATTTTCTTATAGTCGCTCAATGCACAAAGACACTAAAGGGAAATCATTTAGTGTTCACTATTTATACTTACAATTGATTCACAATTGAGAGAAATGCAGTTGACTTAATTGCATGCACATATTGTAAGAGACCCGATGAAACGATGTTCCATCCGTTCAGAGTGGAATAATACATCAATTAATCTCCATCATTCATTGATAGATAGATTCCGAGTATCACACTTGATACTAGCCCCTTTATTGTGTTTCTCAACATGTGATTTTTGATACTAGCAAAAAAATGACCAATAACCTGAGTAATATATGCTATTAAAATAATCGAATTTGCATTTCACATATGAAAGTAATAAATGGTTGGGAAACGTTATGCCATGTTATAAATATATTAAACATATTAAAACATTTGAAATGACACAGAATCATAAATAGTATAACACCTCTACAAATTAAAGGGCTGTAATCTAAGTGGAATACTAGTTTATGACTATAGTTTTATGCTTCATGATGTAACTCTCACCAAAAGGGTTTAGTCACACAACAAACTTTGCCGATTGACATAATATTGACAGAATAAACAGCATACCGTCAGGTTCCATGCACACATGACCGCATCCAGTGCTGCAACACTTCATAGTACCATCACAGTCTTCATCGTCACCGCAGAGTTCTACACACATGCTACCTCCTTGTGGAATGGGACATTCCCCAGGCTTGTCAACTATTAAATAATACACACATAAACTCACATTCAGTTAGAAGATTTAAATGTGGCGCTGTATAGTAAATGTATTAATAAATGAGTAGAGGAGTTATTCTGGGAAACATCCTAATGTTTAGGTCTGATGGAGTATAATGAATAATACCTTCACACTGTCTACAAGTACAAAGTGTTTATTGTATGATCCAGTTTGTTTAATTAGCATGTTAGTTATGTAAATATTCTTTATAATTTATAGCATTATAATATATGCATGTCAAACTATGTAAGGACCAACTTACAGCAATAATGTCAAGAGTTGAAATAAAACATAATTAGAACAATGGCCAGCCGTGCCATACAATGATGTGACACGGGTTTTACAGTCTGGGATAAAAGTGAAAATAAATTGATAAGCAAACGTCGTTAGAACAGTTCAAATTATTAAATGTGGTATACCTGTACAGTCCACTTCTTTTCCCTTGTGATAGAATACAGCATTACAACCACCACAAAAGTTAGCCACACATCGTGCTCGTGGGAAAAGTGGACAAGTTTCGACTTCACATGGATCAATCGAGCACTGAAGCTCAGGAACACCAGGGGGACATTTTTTACCTGTCAAAAAATTCATCCATGTATATATACGTTCACTAAATCGAAAATAAGCATCTTATTTGAAACAAGATTAAAGAAATTTTAGATAAACCAAGCCTTATTATTATAAGATCTACATACCTGCCTTCCTTGTGTCTACGTATTTGGCCTAAAACGGACAACAATAAGATGTAATTCCATTTTAACGTTGTTACTACGAAACATTTATCATTTAATACATTGCGAACTTAGAAGAAAAAAAAATGCTTCTCTTAAAATATATTGTAATTTATTACAATTATTTATAAAATTTAAATAAGAATTATTCTCTTAAATTACACCGGATTCAGGTTTCGCAATATATCATTGATCACATGAAGATGGGGAAATACTTTTCTCAAATAGTCTAATCAGTCTAACGATACAATGCATCTAGTATTTCGAACACAATCACCTTTGCATATACTTTGAGTGTTGTGCATTGTTAAATAGTGACATAATAGAAAAGAGTGATTAAATCATTAATAATTGTTTTTCCAGCCGTATTTATTGGGCTGGAAAGCTTTTTAAACTGGGTGAAATCAACACAATACATGAATGCACAAAACCCAGAATAGATTCTCAAGTGTAAATGGTTTACGGAATCAGACTGTGTTAATACTTACCGTTACAATAGTAACAATGACCACCAATATATACACAACTCGTAGCTTGTCAGATGAAAACATGATATTCTGAATGGTACGCATTCAGTTTGATTTGCTATATATGTCGTATGAGACAATAAGTGCTCGTTACATTTTGCATCCATTCAGATTTTGATTCCTCATCGGGTCATAGTTCGTCAGATTGTCTCTATTATCTAACGGCCAATCGCATTTAGTAAAATAAAAAAAAACATCGATTATCAGAACTTTTCCGTTACATTATTTGTGTGGATGTCATATCGCGGTCAAATATGGTCTTAAAATGACCTATACAGTAATTCACGAACTCTGGAAACTAATAATCTAGAATGTGTTACCATGGTGGTATTAATATATATATTTCAGGAATTCTCTCGGCTAATGATGGGTAGCAGCATATGGAAGTTAATAGTTAATTGGTATCCATGCGTATTTATTAATACTGTCACACTACTCATTACTTACGCTGTACAGTATGTTCGTGCAATAAAATTAATTTGTTTTTAATTACTCGTAAATTCATTTTCCGAATATTCAGTAAAATCATGAACATTGGCGACTGAGACCATAGTATTGTATGACATGTACTCAGATACACTGAGATACAATTGAGAAACGTTTGTTAAATTAAGTGGCATGATCAACCAGATGATTTCCTTGTGTGTTTTTTTAAATATGTGGTTTTTTTTATAAATAAGCTTCAGTTTACTTAACCCAGAAAAAAATATGTGATCATCGAACTATTTTTCGTAAAAGACAAGGGTGAAATATCCACGAAAATGTATTCATTCAGTCATTTGAGCATGCATTTATATCTAATAACATCCTGGCGCGCATCAATCAGTAAGTATACGAATAATTGGATGGCTAATATAATGTCATGTCAGATGTGCAACATCTGGGTATGTTTGCATTACTATCTGCATCGCCCCCTGTCTTCACCGTGACCACACTCAGTGGATTTATGTTTTTCTTTTTCAATAATGATTATGCCTATGAAACTCCTAATGGTTTCGTTCACCTCAAACTGACCCCGTACTACACTACATTGCTATGATACATTACTATCGTTACGATGGATGCAACTATAACATAGTAACAATTTATTTCAATTGTAATAATTTACCGAAGATCTGAACAAATGAAATTACTACACATGTTTTTTTTATAATCATATGACATACAAGTACGTACATTAATATGTCATGTGACGTGTGACGTATTGTCAAGTTCGACGTCAGGTAGACATTTTAGACTTGGAAATCGTAATATTGCTAAAAATAATAAAATACAATGCAAAGTACAATAAAATATTACACCACGATACTACTTGATCTTTGGATGTGAACGCATGCAGGTAATATTGGATACACCCATTATTGAACGCGTTGTCATTTGCTCATTATCAATTCAGTACAATTTGAATACGTTGAATTTGCATTACAACCCACGCATTCTCATGCATTTTCTAGTGAAGGGAGCTGCACCTGCCGACGAGGGCTCCGACCACAAACTTGGATGCCGGTTCCTCGTTTTCTTTGACGTCATATGAACACCTCTTGTCAGCACAGCTTAAATCTAGAGGTTGCTCAGGGGGTCCTGAATTTGGCCCTCTTGTCTTTGGAGAATACTTGGCTCTAGAGTGCGCAGGAACAACGGGATAGTAGTGATGCATATATGGCGGGTAATAATATGGGTTATACTAATATCTATTAACACCGGGTGCTGGTGGATCTGCATCTTTTGGGTCGAAATCATGTGTACATTTGATACTGGAAGGAAGTCGTCTTGGTGACGAAGGCTGTAGAATCGAATCCATGGCAAATAAGCTAACGCGACTCGATGTGGGAACGGGGGTTGTGGGCGGCGGTGTTACAATTGTTTCTTGTGTGACTGAAACAGCATGTTCCTGGACTTCCTCTTTGACTGGCATTATGTTATCACACCGGAACTTAGCCGGATTACGTCGGAACTTAGCTCGTCGGTTTTGAAATCATCTCTGTAAAGGTAAATAAATGTATCATGAATGGCATATTTACGAAGGAGGTGTTGGAGGTCGTGTCACGTTGACAGTATTGAAACATTTTTAAAAGCGCAGATGGCACACACGACATAAAATGTTAACTAAATTGACTACAATAATACTACTAGTAATGTACATACCGTGATTGTGTCAAATTCCAACTCCAGTACATCTGCTATTTGTTGGCGCTGAGCCGAATCCGGATACTGCTCTTTTTCGAATACTTGTGTGAGTCAAGTGATTTGGTAGGCATAGAAAGTGGTTCGTCGTGCCCGACTGGTTTTATGAAGTTTCTTCTGATTATTGCAACCTAAAAAAATAACAGAATAACTCATTTAGTGGTGGGTGAAAGGCTAAATATGAACATACTATTTGTAAAACCAATACTTTAGTCTGGTATTACACTTTCTGCAGAACACAATTACGAATACCTACCGCCTAGACTGGACGATGAGTTACTAAGACTCGGACTGCCGTCTCGGCTGCAATCATCATTATCACTCATACTTGGTCCTGGTGAAATCAACGAGGAATTCATAAACTCTAAAAAAAAAATGGGTGTATGAGAACATGTACTCGTCATAAACTCTGGACATTGTAAGGATTAACCAAAATAAAGTTATCGCTTGAACAGTTGGTCACGTGTCTAAATGTGACGTAATACTTTTTGAGGAGATAGTAAAAACCTTTTTCAATTCGTTTAGTTGTGTTTGTAGATATACAATCATTTGTCCTGTTGGTTCTTTTTATTTTACAAAATTGTTAAATTTGTTTCGCAGTTTACTAGTGTCAACTAATGCCAGGTAAGAAATGGTATGTTGTACTGCTACAATTCTCAAATGCAACACAGTCGTGTTCACAGTCCAGTATAGGAAGATGTGGTAAACGTGGCATACCTGGAAGGCATATTTGAAATGAGTTGCGATATGGTTTTGACAAAAGACTAACCCCGAAGCACGTATTTTATATTTTACTATTTAAATAATTTATCAGCACGATTTTTTTTGCATTGTTATAAACAACTGTGTGATTCGAGAAAAGAGCGTCTATTTCATTATTCATTATTGCCCAAGGGGACACTGTATGCTTTTGTCGAATTTATAGTCCATAGGATGAATTCATTAGAAAAAAATCATTCACAAATATTATACAGTTTTCGGTCAATTTAGATCCACTTGTGGACGGTCATTCTTCGTGGCGAGGACGTTGACGTCCAGTGAGTCTTGAATAATAACGGCAATGAGAAAGTTTGTATTATGTTATTCTATGATCTCTCCTTATAGGGCGTAACAATAACATCTCTGATCGGTTTCTGGGTTGGGTTACATTTTTGGTTTAAAAAAAACAGTGTTCTACGTATAGTTTGTATGCAAGGAATTTTCCCACACAAAAACGACGAATTTGACTTAATGTTGCCCAAATGAATCGACTGGCTAAGAAAGTTTGTTATTTTTCCTTGATTTGTAGGATCTGAATATTCTCAAGCTCACCTTTGCACTGGGTTCAAAGTTCAACAAAACAATGTAATACGTGTAGTCTAATCGTGTTGTCAACAAACGCCTCATATAGTTTAATGCTTTGGGGGCACACAGAATGGTTCAATCTCAACAGTGTACTGTCTTATTGCATGTAGGCATCATACTATCATCTGTACTTTTCTTCAAATGCAGTGGCCAGTTCCCGAAAGTATGTGTTTCACCAGAATCTTTGTCGCGCAAGGAATGCTGCCCACAACCATTTGGTTATGACTCAAAATGTGGAGGACCTGGTAGAGGGGCGTGTGTTGATCTTATGCCACCAAAAGCCGGCGACTCTTCACAATTCGGTGGTGATCTCGACCGTTTGGCGTGGCCGAGTACATTCTTTACACGTGCGTGTAAGTGTGACGGTAATTTTGACGGTTATGACTGTGGTCAATGCAAGTTTGGTTATAAGGGAACGGAATGCGACCAAGAAATTCGTGTGACCAGACGAAATATCTTGTCAATGCCTCAGTCTGAAGTTAAGAAGTTTCGATCGTACTTATTAAATGCTAAAGACAAACTAAGTGACTATCAGATAGCGACAAGTCTTTATATCGATATGTTAAATGGTGATAACCCACTCTTTAATAATATAAACGAGTATGATCTTTTTGTGTGGAACCACTATTATGCAGCGCGAGAAAATATTCGACGACCTGCCAGTGTTAATGACGGTAGCACTATTATCGATTTTGCGCACGCTGGACCCGCCTTCTTAACCTGGCACCGGGCGTATCTACTCTTATTTGAACGCATGATACAACAGGCAAGTAATAACTCACACTTTATGGAGGTAAATGTCCGGGCAAAAGCTGAATTATGAAGGCTGCGTATTGGTTTAGTGACGCGTTTATCAGTCTGAGCGTGCGGACACGTTCAAACACAAAATGAATGATGAATATTAACCTGAACTTTGTGATATCATTTTAACTGGTGACCTTTCATCAACTAGTCAACATTGGCCGATATCGAAAGACAAACAGTTCAAAATGTTTGGAGAATTTGACATTTATTTTTACGGTAATACAAATAACCTTACTCATTGTCATACCATTAACAACTGAACGATTTTGGTGATTATTTATTTTCACCGCGCAAACCTTAAATAAGTAATGACTAAAACTTAAACCCGTCTTTTAAAATTGTATCTTTAGTTCACTTTATGAATTCTTATTAATGGAATCAGCTTGGAAATTGAGTTTAGTAATATGTGGTGTCTTTGCCCAATGATAATTACCAAACGCTTCAGCGTGGTATTAAGAGTTTGTTTTCAGGGGTGGGTGATACCAAGGTGGGAAATGGATGCACATATGGGGTTAATTCCTTGAATTGCAATATAGAGGGTTCAAGCTGAAATACAATATATAGTGTTTTCATGTTTCGTCTGATATTTCTGTGGTATTCTGCTGCTGTAAGTAATGCACGATTTGTTCCGAAATTCAGTATATTGTGTGTATTCCAGGGTTATTCGTTTTTTGCTGAAAACACCCCTATTTTTTTAGTGACATAGTCGAATAGTCTCACTCCCACTGGGAAATCTGCATTGTTGCTTGAATGTGAGTTAATTAAACATATTTTCCAGACCGGCGAAAGAGTATACAACAGCCAATTTTAACAGCCTGTCACGTGATTTTAGTCTGAATGTCAACATGAAGAGGCTAGTCCATTTTACGCAGGAGTAATTGGGAGTAGAATATGTGAGGGATAGTATCAACAGAGATGTGTATAGTGAAAAGTAATATCTA